CGATGTAGACCAGCACCTGGATCAAGTTCGCCGTGTCCTTCGGCACCTCGTAGCTCCACGTGAGGCGATGGTCGATGGGCCGCTCAGGCGCGGCGCCGCCGTCGCCGCCGTCGCAGTCCCTGGGAAGGTCCTCGGCGTCCTCCGTGTAAGCGATGGGCCAGGTGAGGTAGCGCACGTCGTCCTCATCTCCTAACGCGTTCCCGCGCGCCGTCTCCGCCGAACACTTGTAGATCATCGAGTCCTTGCCGCGGAACATGCTGAGCCTGTCCGTAAGCTCCGCGCGGATGGTTGCGACGTCCACGCGGCGCTCCTGGCCGCGCACCTTGGCCGCCGCCGTGGCCGAGAAGCCAACGGTCGTGGGCTTCGGCACGTCGATCTTGACCCGCGTCTTCGCCCGCGGCACGCACGCGTGCATCGTGCAGTAGCCCTCGCGCAGCTGGGGGCTGGAGTCCCAGGAGCGGCCCGTGTCGATCTTGACCTCGTCGTCCCTCTTGTCCTTGGCGGCGTTGGGCTTGGCCAAGGCCGAGGCGTTGGCGCTGGCGCTGGCGCCGGCGGCGCGCGCGCTGGCGCTGGCGGCGGCGCCGCGCGGGGGGGTCGTAGTCATGGCGGGCATAGCCGAGCGAAGCCCGGGCGTCCTGGGCCGCGAAGCGCAAAGCGCGGAGACGGGCGGGGCGCAGGGCGCAGGGCGCAGGGCGCGTAGTGCTGAGTGCTGAGTGCTGAGTGCTGAGTCGCTTTATCGGCTCCGAACCTTCGAAATAGCTACGGACGGCCCAACGTCCAACCCTCCACCCTCCACCCTCCACCCTCCACCCTCCACCCCTCCACCCCCCACCCTCCGCCCCCCCACCCCCTTGCAGCGCTCGGGGCTTGCAGCGTTTTTTTTTTTTTTTTTTTTTTTTTTTTTTTTTTTTTTTTTTTTTTTTTTTTTTTTTTTTTTTTTTTTTTTTTTTTTTTTTTTTTTTTTTTTTTTTTTTTTTTTTTTTTTTTTCTTTTTTTTCCTCCCCCCCTCTCTCTCTCTCTCTCGCTTCTCTCTCTCTCTCTCTCTCTCTCTCTCATTTTTTTTTTGTGTGTTGTGCCTCTTTATCTTTCTCTTTCTCTTTTCTCTTTCTCTCTCTCCCTCTCTCTCTCTCTCTCTCTCTCTCTCTCTCTCTTCTCTCTCTCTCTCTCTCTCCTCTGCTCTCTTTTTTTTTTTTTTTTTTTTTTTTTTTTTTTTTTTTTTTTTTTTTTTTTTTTTTTTTTTTTTTTTTTTTTGTTTTTTTTTTTTTTTCTTTTTCTCTCCTCCTCTCTCTCTCTCTCTCTCTCTCTCTCTCTCTCTCTCGTTTTTTGGTTTTTTTTTCTTTCTTCTTCTCCCCCCCCCCTCTCTCTCTCTCCCTCCTCACATCAACCATCAACCCCATGCCCCTCGCCCCTCGCCCTGGCCCCCGGCGCCTGGGCGTCGTCGCCCCACGCCGCGGGCATCATGGGAAGGTCGAATGAGAATTTAACCTGGGTCACCCTCCTCCCCCATCCTCTCCCTTCCTCCTCACCCATCCCCCATCCTCCTCCCTCCTCCTCCATCATCTGCCTCCCTCTCTACCTCGTATCCCTCACCTTCCCTTTCCCCCTTCCCCCTTCCCCGTTCCCCGTTGCATCCCCCCTCCTCCTCCACTGGCCTCTGATGCCATGCCATTGGCGTCCAAGCGACGACCATGCGATATCCCAGCTGCGCCCGCGTTCACAGAGGGCGCGGCGCAGACCGTCACAGCATATGCGTCTTTCGGCCAATCGAAATACTCGCGGAGCAGCTCCGCCTCGAACGACCTCCCAGGGCCCAGGGCCCCCTCAACCCGGCCCCCACCCCCAACACGTTGGGCCGCCACGGCCCGCACCATTCCACCGTCGGGCCCCCCTGGCCCCTGGCCCCTGGACCCTGGGCCCCACCCCGCCATGGACCATGGAGTGGTCGGCCCGCTGTCGAACGCGCTGCCTTCAGAGTCCACGATGGCCAACACGGTCGGCTTGAGTTCGATGCAATCGAAGTGGCAGTTGTCCTCCCGCCTCCCTCCCTCCTCTCTCCCTCCCCCCTGCTCCCTGCTCCCTGCCTTCCTTCCCCTCGGCGTGGGCCTGCCGTTTTCCCCCTCCTCCTCCTCCTCCGTTTTACTTGCCCCCCCCCTTCCTCCCCCCCCCCCCCCTCGCCTCTCGGCTGGTGGGCAGAGCAGGGCACGGTGGCCCCGATGGGGCCTGGGGCCCAGGGGCACAGAAGCTGCCGCCAGCTGCCCCCTCCTCCTTCCATCCCGGCTCCCTGGCTGGCGTTCTGCACGGTGGAATCCCCATCCTCACAGTGCACAGTGCCGGAAGATTGGCGCCCGCGCCTTCCAACTCGCCAGCTCGCCCCCGTCCGCACTCCGCCCCAGCGCGTCCATTACCTAAGCGACGGGCCCTTCCTTCCCACTCCCCCCTTCCCCACCTCGCTCCCTTTCCCCCGGCCTCGTTCCTCGCCTCCCACTCCTCACTCCTCATCCCCTCATCCCCCCTCCCTTCCTCAGTCCACCTCCCCGTCGGGCCCCTCAGCTCTCAGCTCCCTCAGCTTCTCTCCCGGAGCCCGGGGCCCCTCAGCCTCCCTAATCCCTCATCCCTCAAGGCCCGAGGCCCCTCGCTCTCTCTTTGGCGCCCGGGTGGAGGCGGCGCAGGAGGCGGCCGGGCTCCGCCCCTGCCTCGCGCAGCGCCTCCTGGAGCCACGCGGCCGGGCGCAGCGTGGCCCGGGCGCCGCGGGCCGACCGCCTGCCCAGCCCGTCTCGGGTGGGAAATCAGTATTTATCTTCCTCCTCCTTCTCCTGTTCCTCCTCCTTCATCCTTCATCCTCCTCCTCGTCATTATCCTCCTCCTCTTCCCCCTCCCCCTCCCCCCTCCTCCTCCTCCCGCGTTTTCTCCTCCCCCACATCCTCTTGCCTCCACTTCCTCCTCCCACTCCTGCCATCCTCCTGGCGCGCTCGCCGCGGCCGCCGCCGCCGCTCGTGCAGGCGAGGCTGCGGCGAGCGAGGCCGCGGTCGTCGCCGTCGCCGTCGTCGTCGTCCTCGTCCTCGTGTTTTTGTGCATTTGTGTCTGTATATGTATATATATATATATATATATATATATATGTATATATGGATTTGGCTATTTGGCGGTTTATACATATAGTTTCAGTCTCTCCGATAAGCTGTCACTGCGATGTTTAACGTTTGCTGCTATGCATTGCTTCTCGCTTTATTCACCGAGAGCTCGAAACCCTCCAGCTTGAGCAGGAGGGCTTCGAGCTCCGAGCTCTCGGACCACGCTGTCCACTTCGTCGTCATCGCCGCCGTCATCATCGCGGAACCGCCGTCGTCATCGCCGCCGCCGCCGTCGTCATCGCCGCCGTCTCTGGGGAACGCTCCTGCTGCCCTACCCGTCCTGCTGCCTGCTACCCTGCCCCTCCTTCTGCCCTACCCCTCCTGCTGCCCTACCCCTCCTGCTGCCCTACCCCTCCGCTGGCCTGCTCCTTGCCCGTCCTGCTGCGCTACCCCTCCTGCTGCCCTATCCCTCCTGCTGCCCATCCTGTTCCCTTCTGCCCTACCCGTCCTGCTGCCCTGCCCCTCCTGCTGCCCTACCCCTCCTGCTGCCCTACCCCTGCCCCCTGCGCCGCCCCTGGCTGCGCCGCCACCGGCCGCTCGGGTAGGCGGCCAGCAGCAGGGCCCCCCGCGGCATTGCCGCGCGAGGCCCGAGGAGAAAAAGAAGGAGGGAGGAGGGGGGGTGGAGGAGGGGAGGGGCGAGGAAAAAAGGGATGGAGGAGAGGAGGGGCGAGGGAGGAGGGAAGCGGGAGGGGGTGGAAGGGGTGGGAGGGGGGCGGGGGGGCGGCCAGGGCGCCTGGCGCGGGGCCGCGCGCCGCGCGGAGGGGGGGGCCAGAGCCGGAGGAGGAGGAGAAGGAGGAAGAGGAGGAGAAGGAGAGGGTCGACGGGGGGGGTGGACTGTTGATGGTGAAAAAAAAGGCGCTCCCTGGCACCCCCCGCGGGCCCGCGGGTCGTCGTCGTCGTCGTCGTCGCCGCCGCCGGCGCCGCCGCCGCCGCCGCCGGCGTCGTCGTCGTCGTCGCCGTCGTCGTCTTCGGCGCCACCGTCTCCGGCAGCGGCGGCGCCAGACCCCCCCCTGGAGCTCAAATGCAAAAGTGTATGATGCGCAGGCCCCCCCCTGGAAGTCAAATGAAAAATTGCATGATGCGCAGACCCCCCCAAGACCTCAAACGTATCCGTTTTCATGTCTGAACCCAGAGATCTGCATTCCCAAGTCGACCAGAACACCTTCACTAGAGGTGGAGGAGGAGCCATCAGCACCCTGCCGCCACTGGCCCCCCGCACTCAACACGCCATAACCAATGAGTAAGCGCCTGCACGAAGAATTGGTTTGCAACGCTCCAGGCAATGTATCATGACTCGTGATCTGCCTACTCAACTGCGAGGAGGAGGAAGAGGAGGACAGCCGAGGAGGTGGAAAAGGAATAGGCGGAGGATTGGGCGGAGGAGGATGCAGTAACTTGTGCTTCCTCGCCTCCGCCATGCGGTTCCCAGGTGACCGCGGCGCCCATGTAAGCTCTCAGGTCGAGGCTCCCATGCAATTTTGGAGATTCAGGTACCTATGTATATTTCGAGGTCGAGGTGCCCATGTTTGTTTGAAGTTTGGGTACGCATGCAATTCCAAGGCCGAGGTTCCCATGTCGATTCCAAGACTGAGGTGTCCATGCAATTCCAAGCTCGAGAAATAAAGAGGACGCGATTGGACTCCGAGTGCCCATGGGTGTGGGGATCGACTAGGACTTGAGCGCGCGCGAAGCAGTGTAAAATATGACTCCACGTCGCCGGCGGTGCATTCGACATGGTCCGCCCCGCCATTTTGTCGAGCTCGTGTCTGATTGTAACGCGTTCGAGCACGGTGCAGTGCTGGCGTGCTCCTCGTCTGGCTTGCCGAAGACCTCCTTGGCCTTATCTTTGATCGTCGATCTCAGCCCTCCTCCTCCTCAGTCCTCCTCCTCCTCCTACACTGCTCCTCGGCATGTCTGCTCGAGCGAAGGCCTCGCTACATATACCCGAGTTGCGCGGTTGTAGCCATACAGGTCCCGCCAGGTCGGCCCGCGAGCACGATGGCTCTGTCCTCGAAGCTCCTTGCCAGCGCCGCAGTGCTCTACCTCGCCAGGGCGGCGTCGTCGCCCACCGTCCCCGTCGGCGGCAGTTGTCTTATCAACCAGGAGTGTCAAGCAGGAACCGGAGCATAAGAACAGCAACGATGCCAATCATTTTCAGACTGTTCCCTCCTGTCTGCTCGCGTGCCATTCCGCACGTATGCCCCAAACCCTCGGTGCCCGCCCTCTCCGTCTTCGGTGGTAACCCCCTCGGGCAAGAAGAGTCATCAAGGATACTTCGTGGGGTCTCTTCGGACGGCTCTGGGGGGCCTCTCGGGGGGAGTTTTTGGGCCTCTTGTTACCCTCTCGGGGGCCTCTTCTGGCTTCCTGGGGACCTTGTGGGTCTCCTTGGGCCTCTTGGGAATCTCTTGGGGTCTCCTGGGAGCCTCTCGGGGCCGAGGGCTCGAGATGTCCTTTCGGGTTCTCCATCAGGGCGCGCTCTTGGAGCCATCTTGGGGGCCTCTTGGGCCGTCTCGGAGGCGTTTTGGGCTGTCTTGGGGTCCTCTTGGGTTGTTTTTGGGCCCTCTTGCAGCCCTCTTGGGCGAGAACGTCCAAATCTTACAAAAGCCAGCGGGGAATCACTGTCGTTTTGGAGGCATCCTGGGCAGTCTGGAGGTCGTGAAGGCGTTTTGGACCGATCGTTTGGCGATTTGGAACTCTTGGACCGTCTCGGGGGCCTCTTGGGACACTCTTGGCCTGTCCTGGTAAGGAACCCTCAGTAAGGAATCCTTCATGAGGAATCCCTACCAAGGAGTCTTTTGCAAGGAATCTTTAGTCGGGAGTTCTTTGTAGGGGAAACCCCTAGTAAGAAGTCGTTGGTCCGGGATCCTTTGTAGGGGCTCCTTAGTAAGGCGTCGTCAGTAGAATGGGGTCCTTAGTAAGGAGTTCCTGATCAACAAGGATCCTGAATACGGTATCCTTGGTGAGGAACCCTTAGTAAGGAATCCTCAGCGAAGAACCTTAACTGGTCAGGAATATCCAGTACGTAACGAATCCATACGAAGGAGTCCTTGATCAGAGTGAGGGGACCAAACGGTCATTCATTGTCCCTGGACGCGTGGTTTAGTATGAAATTCGTGGTGAGAATTCTGTTTGTTACGTTGTCGTTGTTGTTGTTATTGTTGCTGTTGTTGCTGTTGTTGTTGGTGGTGGTAATTTCTAACTAATAATTATTGTTGGTCCCCCCCCAGGCGCCCTGGCGCTCTCTCGTCGGCGCCTGCTACATTTGTTATTGAAAATGAGGCTCACGCTCGAGCGGTTTGGGGGGGGGCGCCAAAACGGGCCCCCCAACAGCAATAACGCTCCCGCTCGATACTTCTTCTTTTTCACTCAGAGCCTGTGCTCCTGCTTGCCGCCTAAAACCGCCGCCCCAACAAAACCAACGCTCCCGCTCGAGACTTCGTCCCACTTTACCTTGGACTGGCGCGCTCCTCTTTCTCTCATCGGCGCCGCCCCCAGCAAAAGCAACAATCCCGCTCGAGACTTCCTCCTTTCTTACTCAGGGCCGGTGCTCTTGCCCGCCGCCGAAAACCGCCGCCCCAATAAACTCAGCGCTCCCGCCCGAGACTTCCTCCCGTTTCACCATGGACTGGCGCCCTATTCTCTTTTGAATTGGCGCTGGCCCCAGCAAGAACAACGCTCCCGCTCGAGGCTTCCTCGTTTTTTCCTGAGGACGGTGCTGTTCCTCGCCGCCGACGGCCCCCGTCTCGACAAAACCGCGGCTCCCGCTCGAGGCTCCTTCCCTTCTTACTCAAGGCCTCCTCCGACAACCGCTCGAGACGTCGTTTCATTTTACGCTGGATTAGTGCCCTACTCTCCTCTGCAGTGGCGCCGCTCCCAGCAACAACGGCACCCCTGCTTGAGACTTCCTCCCATTTTTATTCAGGGCCAGGTCCTTGCCTCGCCGCCGACAGCCCCCATCCCCACCACGCCAATCCTGTCGTTCGATAGTTCCTTGTGCTTTACGCTTGGCTGGGGATCCACTGGCGGCCTCGCATCGGCGCAGCAGGGCGCTGGCATGTGCTTTCGATGCGGGATATGTTGAACTTCCTCGGAGGAGGTGTTTGCAAGACCTCATTGGGCGGGAGATCTGGGAATGGGAATAACGGATCCCCGCGATAGAACAATAATCCCGCATGATGGGGGTGGTTATCATGATGATCGCATGCTGCGTGTGGAAGCACCGCGCATCAGGGTAAATTGATTGTTGTTGTTGTTGCCCCACCCGCGACTCACCTTGCGACCCACCCCGCGACCCACCCGCGACCCACCCCGCGACCCACCCGCGACCCACCCGCGACCCACCCGCGACCCACCCTCGACCCACCCCGCGACCCATCCGCGACCCATCCGCGACCCACCAGCGACCCACCCCGCGACCCACCCGCAACCCGTCTCGCGACCCACCCTCAAAGGAGGAGAAACCACCCGGACCCGACAGTTGACGTTTATTAAACGGCCTTGAGCGTTTACTAAACACCCTTGCCCTGTTCGATTCATTACTTGTGTGCGTTTACTAAACGGCTTCGCTTGTCGGGTTGAATATTATGGGGTGGATTGTCAGCCCTCTACGCCCGCGACCCAACAGCGACCCACCCGCGACCTATTTGCGACCAACCAACGACTTACCCACATTGGTTTACCGACAATTCGGCGGCTGCGGCGGGCTCGTTGTATCAGTTGTGAAAGGTTGGTGCCTGCGGCGGGCTTCTCCAGAGTCTCGCAAACTACCGACGTCCCCACCGCCCACTTACTCTTATCCGCATATGCGGGGTGCTACGGCACAAGGAGCCCTTGCGTAGTGAATTCTTAGTTCGTAATATATCCTCAGGAAGGATTCCGTACTAAAGGACCCTTAGTGATGAATATCAAATGATTTGTGCTTAGTAAGGAATCACAAGTAGGGGATATGTAAAACAAAGTTCTCCGTAAGGGATCCTTGTTAAGGAATCATTTGTAAGGAATCTTCATGGAGGAACCGCACTAAGTCAATCCGTCGTAAGGACTTGCTAATGGATTCTTACAACGGTTTCCTGATTAGGGCCCCCTGATTGGGGGTTCCTTTTGCCAGGAATCGTTAGTAGGGAAACCTTCGTCAGGAATCCCTGCTAGGGCTTCTTTAGTTGGGAACCGTTAGTCGGGAGTTCCAATTTTAGTGGGGAATCCTTAGTGGGAGATTCTTAGTGCGGAATCCTTAGTCGGGAACCCTTAGTAGAGAATCCTAACTTGGGAATCCGCACTAGGGCTGTGGGGACCCCTAATAGAGCTGTATCCACGTCCGTAGGGATCTCTTAGGGCCCCGAGACGGTTGCGCGCCTTGCCGGCGCGCGCGTGTTTCATCGAGAGAGCATTTCCATGGGGTCGGGTAAGAAAATTCCACGATTGGTAGGTTTCAAGCTAAGTTTGAGGGGCCAGTTGGGTTGCTGGGTTGCCGGTTGCTGGAGGGGGTTGCCGACCCCTGGGGCCCTAGGCCAATGGTCGTCTAGTAAGGACAACCATTGACCTCAGTACCCGTGCAAAGGGTCTCTGGGTGCAGGTTGTCCTTGTTGTTGATTTTGCTGTTGCTGTTGAATTCTCACAACTGAAGAGTCCTTATTGTTGATCCCCCCTCCGGTGCACATTGTATGTTTCAATTGAAATGCCCTTCCCGGCGCTCGCACCCTGTATTTGATTAGGGAAAGTCTTCCTCCGCAAACTGTGCTCGGCCCCTTGCTTACATCAACAACAACAACGGCTCCCGCTTAATATTTCCTCGGACTTCACTCCTGTCCCCCGCTCCTGCTTAAGACTTAGTCGCAATTGACTGAATAATCGCGCTCCCGCCTGAGACTTCCTCGCAATTTACTCAGGCGCCGCGCTCTTGCCATTCAGGTTCGCTAGGACCTTCTTCGGATTTACTTAGGAATCGCTCTCTCGCTGGAAACTTCCTGGTTAATCACGCAGAACTCACGATCGATCCGCCTGCTCGGCCCGCCCGTCAGTGTCACGCCCTTCGTGCCCCATGCTCGCTCGCGCCCTTTGTACCTCATTGCTGCCCTTCGTGGCCCTTCGCCTTGTGGCCCAGTCGCTGCCCTTCGTTACCCCGATGCTGCAGTGGCCCCTCGCTGCCCCTTGTGGCCCATATATATATATATATACAGGTGTGTGTATATATATATATATACACATATAGATGTGTATATATATATATATATATACATAGGTATGAAAAAGGGTGTGTTCTACCGCTGCTTGCAGAAAACCGGGGGGGGGGTCACTACCGGTTCGAACCCATTCCCCCCTCCCCCCTTCGGACAACCGGGGGGGGGGTCACTACCGGTTCGAACACCTCCCCCCCTCCCCCCTCAGTCCATCATGAAAATGGGGGGGGTCACTACCGGTTCGACCCCCCCCTCTTCGAAAACCGGAGGGGAGAGTGCGGACAGTGGTGGGGACGGTGGTGGTGGGAACAGCGGCGAGGGGACAGCGGGACAGTGGTGGGGACAGTGGGACAATGGTGGGGACGGTAGTGGTGGGGACCGTGGTGAGGACAATGGTGCGAACAGTGGGGACAGTGTGACAGTGATGGGGACGGTGGTGGTGGGGACAGTGGTGTTGGGACGGTGGGAATGTGGTGGAAACAGCAGGACAGTGGAGGGTACAGTGGTGGTGGCGACAGTGGTGAAGGCGGTGGCGAGGACGGCGGCGGGACAATGGGACAGAGATACAGTTGGGACAGTGGTGGGGACAGTGGGGACAGTGGTGGGAACAGTGGGACAGCTCAGTGGGACAGCGGAGGAGTCAGTGGGACAGTGGGGACAGTGTGGATAGTCGGGCAGTGGTTGGGGCCGTGGAGAAAGTGGGGAGGGTGGAACCGTGGTGGGAACAGTGGTGGGGACAGTGGTGACAGACAGTGCGACAGTGGTGGTGGCACTGGTGGGGACAGTAGGGGCGGTGGTGGAACCAGTGGGGACAGTGGTGGTGAGGACAGTGGTGCTGGGAACAACAGTGGGGGATGTGGTGAGGGTGGTAGGGACCGGGAGTCGTTTGGTGGCGGTGGGGAGGGACGGGTGGGTGGGGAGGGTTCGAACCCGTGTAGTG